TAAGGGGGGGGGAAATTTGAAGTTCCTCAATCCCATCAAATTGCACCACATTTAATGAAGACTATAACACGAATTGTGACGTGTTAAAAGAAAAAAAATGTGTTTATGTTGAACAAGTCCAACCCAGACTAAGTCTCCACTGTCCCAGTATTACATTATCTCATTTTGAAGTCCACCATAGCATCCTGAATCTGTTCACCCACTACCACTGCTCCAAGCTTCAGTGGAGAAACAAAAAAAATCTCTGCCACTATTAATCACATGAACTTTTGTAGATTAGCTAATATAACTAGACCTTCTATTACTATTCCTTAGTAACACCATCAGACCTCCAGAACTGGAAGTTAGCTTCTGAATGAATAACAACATTTGACAAAAATAACATGAGGCAGGCAGGAACCTTCAATCTCTGTACTATGGAGCAGATAAGTATTTTGAAATCAAAATTTACAATCAAAACCACAATTCTGAATGTTTGCATACACAAAACTATTGCAAAAATGTCAGAAGTACTGCTTTTCCAGTCTTTTTACGAAATCGTAGATAAAATACTTCTATTAGAATCTTACCTGTACTCGCTGAACATCTTCTATGCATTGTTTGTCTGTTTCTAGGACAGCAGATTTCAATTCTGAATTTGAAAAAGAGACATAGATTTTAAGTGCTTTATATAAAAAAAAATTCATTGATCTTTCAAAATACACATTAAGAATTAATGAAAAGAGGATGGAGTTAAAGAAAGTAAAAAGAAAACAAGGTTATCTGTCCCACTTTCCAAATTATCCATCTAAAATTAACTGAACAGGTTACATGTGTAAAAAAAAAAGCCAGCCTGATCTCAATTTGCAAAGTATGTATTATGACTCAATATTAAATGCTATCATGTCAAACCTGAAAGAATTGCATTTTGATTGTCAAAATTTCTGATTAAAAGAAAAATAGTTACTTATGGCTCTATTATACAAATTCCACAGAAGGTCAAGGGAAGATTCTCATGCTTGTTCTTCCCACTCAATCTCATTAAGAAGTATTTCTGTCCTTAAGGTCTGTGGATTGTGTCTGTTCACAAAAGGCCAAAAGAACCCGTGAGCAGAATGATGACTGTTGACAGCTATGTTGTCTTTTTCATATCCGCCACTGGCCCTCCTCTACCCTATAGTCAACATTCGAAATCTCCATGATGAGATAAATAGTGATACAGATCTAAACTCACATTTTAAAAGCATTCTTGAATGCAATTTGACTTTATTGCAAATACATTTTGAGAACTGTCAGTTAAATCATAGGTTTATTGTTCACTGTCTACGTCTTAGCCTTACAAAGAGATGGTTTGGGATGATACACTTATTTTGCAAGTGTAGTCAGAGCTTCCCAGAACTGGGGACATTCAAACTGAGGATACAAAATGAATTCATCACCTTTGTACTGAATTCCATATCCTCTCTTTTGGGTAAAGAGCCAGCATTAATTTGACTTTTGGAATTTTGACCATGTTACTCATTTACATCGAAAAATGAAATAGTAGTACTTCACTCTATATGTATCTTATTCAATTGTTTTCTACTTTAGAATAACTAATGAGGATTCTAATGACTATCTAAGCATTCCTTCCTTTAATTATTGTCTTTAAATGGAGAAAAATATTATTTGTTCCAGAATGATGGTTTTAAATGGAACCACAGATCTCCAACTGTCACCTTGACAATGAAAAACAAAATAGCAGTGGGAGTAAGAATCTTCATCTGTGCATTTTACCTGGAAAATGAGCATCAAAACATAAGACACCCCTGCAACTAGATTATCTTTTTTATTTTAAAACCTGGATAACAATTATTCTATCTACAAATACTAGTCTTTGTAGATCTCTGTTTTCATTAAAAAATTTCAAACAAAACCTAAGCACAAAAGAAATTACATTAAAATCTTGATTGTCCTGATATCTATTTCAGTGTACATTCCTGCATTGTCTCTACAGTTCTGTATTTTGATTGGCTGATGGATAAAAGAAATAAGAGATTTTGTGCTGGAAATGGCACAAGCACATTTAGGACCCTCAAGTCTTTCAGTAAGCCATTGCAGAGAATAACAAAGACTTATTTTTAATTGTATGGAAAAAAGAATCTTGTAGTTAAAGCACAGGGCTTGAATTAAAAGCTCTAATCTCCATTCTGACCTTCTTACACATTTCTTCTCTGACGTTAAAGAACCTCTCTGTGCCTCATTTTCCTTGCCTGATAGGAGACAACTAGAAAAAAAGAAAAAAAAAACAAACCAACCCCCCCCAAAAAACCCAGCAGCTGCACAGTGCAAAGAACTCTAACCAGCTTAGTAGCTACTGCTAATGATGCCTCTAACTGGTCATAGTCCAGTTCTGAACACAGAAGAAAAATAGAAGTATTTTTCTTATACCTGCCCAAAGAACATATGTGTCTCACATCCTTCTTTCATCTTTTAAGGATACCACTACACAGCAGGCAAATCTATTGGCCATTTGCAGGAATAGTGAAGTAGTTGTGGTCCAGAACCTCTGGATTCATAATTCCTAGACATTTCGCCCCCTCACAGCTTTCTGACAATCCCAGCTGTTGGGAGGCGAGACATACAAGGGGGAAGTTTCATTGCCAGTGTCAGTTACGCTGCAAGGCTACCCCTTGAAAATTAACTATCCTCAACCTTTGTAACTTCTTCAATTGTCTACTAAAAAGGCATTTCATGTCTCATTTGACAGAATTGTTCCCAGTCATGAGGATAGGTTGTCATTAACAGGAAATAACTCATCATCTCTCACTTTGTCAAGTTCCTAGTACGGTTGAATTGTACCTTGTTGCTGACTTTCAGTTAAGTCCATTTACTGAAGAAAATTCAGGATTATACTAATGAATTGGACACTCACTCTTTGTTGCATCCAAAATAACCCCACCAAAACCAGTGAATGACTGTTTTCTGGTAAAAGACACTAATATCTTCCAAAGGAAGTGAAGTGTATTATCATTTTTATACTAAGCAATTGTGAGATATTTATTTTAAAAATTATCTGGAAAAGAACATTTTTGACAAACCCTGCCTCAATTGATTTGCAAAACCTGGAAAGCTTCACTAATATTTGGGCATTGGTAATCTCCCCAGGGCCTATGTACATGATTTTAGATTTCTGTATGGTTGAAACTGCTCTCACCAGGTTTTATTCTTTGCTAATGTTCTAGCAGCAAAGACGTACAGACAGAGCTTAGAAAGTAATGCTTGCTGTTACGCAAATTGCCACAAACTACCTTGCTTATTCACAAGTTCTTAAAAAAACTAGGAACAGGCTGCTTCTATATATTTCTCAACATTTAACAATTTGATAGAATTGTCTAGTTTATTTTTACCTCAGACAGATTTTATTCTAAAAAGGGTTCTAAATACAAGCTGAGTTCAAGCTAATACGAGCAGGCAATTTAAGGCTGATTTGCCAAAATTCACCCAATACAATCTATTTGCAGGAAACTAATAGGGTTTTTTCTTTGTTTGGCAAAAAAAAAAAAAAAAAAAAAAAAAAGGCGCTGCCAAAACGAAATCCACAAAAAAAAAAAAGGGAAAAAAAAAGTTTCCTTCCCTTTAACCCAAACCAAACTTTTTTTTTCCCCCTTCATTTTTCATAAAACAAAGGAAATAAATATCATGACAATCCTAGTTTTGTTAAAGAGACTAACTTAGATTTCAGGGTGTAAGCCCACACAGATATTTAGTGTGTCAGGACCATTTCATTTGGCAAGAGAACTGGTATAATCTTTGAGCCTCTGCCCAGGTGGTTACAACAGTCACATGGGAGACAGGATGACTAGGCTTTAGTGCATGCTTACATTTTGCTATATGTTAAATGGAATAGTGTCATCAGCAAAGCACTAAAATAACTGAATTTCAAATACCTTGCTGTGTGTGATTCAGGCAATGGGCTGGGGCATGAGAGTGTAGAGTCAAACACCACAAAAAGTGACAGAAACAGATTGTGTCTATTCAAATAGAAAATTAGTGGCATACATATTGATCTTATTGGTGATATTTACTCATTTTGTCCAAAGCCTTTTCTGAATCCAGAACTGAAAAATATTTTTAGCATAAGTATTTGCTGACTTGAACCCAAATTCATATTAGGTGTTTCCAAACTTCATTTTTTTTATTAAGTAGCCAACTTAACAAACAAACAACAAAGCAAACTAAAAATGCCCCCAACCAACCTGACCAAAAAAAACCCAAAAAACCTATCCTCAACCACTCTAATAGAGTTTTCCTCACACTCAACAATGCTCTATATGATACTGAGCACACAGTAAAACTATTTAATACGCACTATATTAAACAGACAATTAACTACTTTGCTAATTTAGGAACAAATTACCCAAGACCTTGCAGAATTTCCTCTTGCCTTACTTAAAACTTGAAGGTCTGATACTGTCCTCATGTGTATAGTAAAAATGAAGACTTTACATACAAAAATATCATGCTACTTTCCTCTCCAGATCAATACTTTTGTCTGAAATTGACTTTTTTGTTTATAAACCATTGTCTCTAATGTTAATATTGTACCTGTTTAATCCATACAGCAATAATTATATAACAGCTACTCTGTACACAGTAATTTAAACCCTTTAAAAAATGCTTGCCCCCGCCACCTTTCAAAGGTGCATATATAAAAAATAATTTAGCTGAAAATCTTGGGGAAGATATTTATCTTAGGCTTCACATGAAACATCACTCACCTCCATGTTCTTCCACATGGCAAGCATGAGAGAAATCAAAAAAAAAAGTTAAATTATTTATTTATCTACCTGAATTGTATTGAGTACAGTTATATTTCCTTTTCCCTCCATGCCCTACACTGCAAACTCACACCAAAACCCAAAATTTCAATAATATTTTTAAAGTGTCAGCACCTCAGGTAAATTTTGAGAACCATTTATGTTACGTTTAGAAACAGTCACAATACACAATTTTCCATTTTACTTCTAATCATATTTTCTTAATATTTTTGCAGTTTTTGAGAGGGCAGTGGCTGAGATAAGGAACATAAAAGCACTGTACCATTCCATCCATGTAACGGGTATAATACTGAATAGAACAACATAGAATGGAAAAAAAACATGTATAAAATTAATATATTTAGAAATTATTAATATTATCCTCCTCGTAGAAATACTCTTCCAAATTGGCAAAAATCATAAAAATCTCTACATTTCCAAATATTTTATGTAATCAATGTTCTAGATATTAGAGCAACAAAACTGTTAAGGCTAAAACCTCAAAGTAAAACAATAAAATATTCACTCTCTTGTTTTTCCAGTGCAGAGTATGTTCATAAATACTCTGATCACACATCCATTAGCTAAATCTCCAAGTTGAGAAACACAACCTGTCCTCTCAGATTACATGGCAATGAATTTTACTAACACATATGACAGCACTTTCACTGAATATAGCATAAAATACTAGATCATTAGTCAAAAACTGGACTAGCCCAATGGTCCTGTACTGTAGTGTTCTGCACTCTCAATTGCATCTGTGAGATGGATGCAGAAATGTTTCCCTGACCACTAATAGAGCTGTTTTGGTAGAAGCCATAGCAGTATTGCATTTTTTTCTGGCATCATTTATTTCACTTGTGAACACTGGAATAAGTGACACCAGTAAAAGTGAAGTGTTGCCATAATAAATGGTGTCCATGCAAGGAATACTTTGCTCATGTTCCAGAGGAAGTAGTAAAGAAGTCTCAAAGAGAAACAAATCTGAAATTAACTCCTCTCAAATCCTACAAGCAATACAAAGAGATCTGTTGAAATAATGACTTAATACTTCAAATCTCAGAAATGAAAAAAAAAGGAGTGGTAGGAAATGGAAAATTTGAGAATACCCAGTGGCTCTCTATGGAGGTCATGGGGATGAATGCAGCCTAGAAGTGTTGAGAGCCATTGAACACTAATTAATGCAAAACTGAGCCTCCAAGAACCTATGGTATTTGCCCATGAGCACTACCAGCAGAAAACTAGTTTGAAATTCTCTTCTAAATTTCTTCGTCATCTGCAAGAGGGGTTTGTTTTGTTTGGTTTAATTCTCAGCTTAAATAAAGCTTTTAATGAGTACGCAGAAGATTTAAGAAATTTGGCTGGCAGAGTAACCTCACAAATTTTATGATAAACTGATTTGTAAACAAGACCTCAATTTATTTTTCAGATACACTTATTCCTACCTCTCTGTCAGCAGGGGACTGCTGAATCCGCAAAGGAATACCTTACACCACTCTAATAACTTTCAGTATACCACCAGTGGGCTTCTGAAGTTTTCCATATTTTTAAGAAGAGAAAAGTACCCATATTTCATGTCTCTGAAGGTATGTAAACTGGAAGAGAACAAAGGTCACAACACCTGGTAAAATCCATTAGTCAGCAGACGCCAGGTGCACATCTTGGTTGTTAACAAAAAGCATGCATTTTTTCTGAATATTTTTTATTAGATTCATACTAGCTAATATTATTTCTGATGCTAAGCCAAGATCTTCAAAATCAGGTATTTGTTAGAAGTTAAGATATTAAGTTTATATCTTGGATTCTAAAAGACAGCAGCTCTCCCCATGCCATACATGTATCTTGTCTGTGTCCAAGAACTATACCTTCTTCCGTACTTTTGAGTTTTTGTTCTTCATCTGGAGGTTTGGGTGGGGGCCACACAGAAGAAATTCTCCTTGGAAAGCTTCCTTCAACGTAATCCAATGAATGTGTGGGTTGGCTAACTGCAGCCCAAGTATAAAGCTGGTCTTGCTGTGGTTATTAAAAAAAAAAGTTGAGAAGTTCATATAGAAAGCTCAAAAATATCAAAGCTTTTGTTTCCAACACAAATAACTCAATATCCAACCCTATATCAAGGCAGACTTGTTTTTATGATCTTCATCTCACGACTTAACATAAATCTATACTAAAATAATTTAATGTTTCAGTTTATTAACTAAAAGATTAGATTTTCTGTGGTTATCTGCAGCACAATGAGATGTAAGAATCCAGTTCAGCACTTTTTTTGAGCATGAGGAACTCTTTGCCACTTCTTTCCTTAGAGAGATAACAGGTTCTGTCCATCATGACTGTACTACTTTACATATGGCTAGTTTATAGGTTAGAGAAAAATATTTCAGTCCACACACTATGTGATTTTTTACAACAAATGCACAAGCAAGGAAAAGAAGCAGGATTATTTCAGCATAAATATTTATTCTTTGCAACCCTGTCTGTCATTTACATTTCCATATTCATAGCAAGGCAGCTAAAAACGTGGGTTTGGTTTTAGAATTTTATTAAAAAAAAAAAAAAGCCAACAACTGGAAGTATTCTCAATCTTCTTGGCTCAAATCAGATTATATCCTTGTTACTCAATAGCTTTGAGTTTGATTCACCTATTAAAAGTAGGAGACATCCAGACTGTCTGATGAAAACTAGAGCAAACTTATGTTTTAAGCCAACAGAAAGGTTTGAGATGACCACAATTCAAGTAGTTATTTTTGTGACTCTCTGTATGGAACAACATGTGCACCTTGTGATTAAATATTTATAATGCTGTAAACTCTATAGAGATCAATCACAGCAACTGCATGACTATCCCATTAATGGATATTACGGAAATATGAAAACATTCTAGTATTAAAGTGGAAAGAAAAAATTAAGTCACAGGATGAAAATATAGTCATATCACACAGTAATATCTTCTTACAAAGACCATGTTCACTACACTTCATTCACATTATTGCCCTAGTAAAACATTAGTAATAGGTATTTGTCCTGCTGCATATTTCATTTTTATATTAAAACCTCCCTTTTTTTTTTTTAATTTTACACAGATACTAAACATTGAAGAGACACGCAGGTGGAAGAAAAAAAAATTAATACTTTTTTGGGGGATAAGCTTCTACTTGCCTAAAAATAAATTTTGATAAGGGTGATAAAATTCTATTGAGAACAAACTACTTAGACAAATGCTGATTATAAAATAAAAGGTTTAAGTTTACAGAGGGTACACTAAACAGTCAGGGCCAAAGGAAGCTCACTATATCTTCCCAGCATGAAAGGCATGGCAAAAATCCAGCCACATACACAGAACTTATATATAAAAAAATGGACAAAAATCTTAATAGGAAAAAAAAAAAATTCACATCAGGTTCTTTACACAGCACTGAACACTACGGTCGCCGGAAAGCCTATCCTTTTCCCATTACTATGCTACTGCATTTGAACATGCAAACAGGCTTGATTAATGCAGTTCTTTCAGTAACTTGATTTGTCTAGTTCCAGCTTTTTAGAGGATATGTATTTTTGGGTTTCTGAGAAGTTTCCAGTACTGTGAGAGTGAAATGGAGAGGGAGAGTCATACACCTACATATTGTGTAAAGAAAAAGAAAAGGCATTGGATTTTGTTATTTGTCTTGTTTCTGCTTCATCCAAATCTCAAAAACACATAGGAAAAACATGATTCAAGAAAGTCAGAGGCAAACCAGAATAAGTTTTTTTTTTTGTTGCGTTTTGTGTGGTGTGTTTTTTGTTGGTTTTTTTTTGTTTGTTTTTTTTTGTGGGTTTTTTGGTTGGTTTTTTTTTTGTGTTTTTTTTTTTTTTTTTTTTTTTTTTTTTTTTTTTTTTTTTTTTACACACTCTACTACCTTACATAGTCCAGGGAACACAGGGAAGAACAAACTACAGAGGGTTAGCTGGGCAAGCACAGTTAGCTTTCAACAGCATTACATGTAGGGTTATAGGGCAATAAAACAGAAGACAACAGGCTGTAGATAATATTAATGCAGCATGAATGAGGAAGGCAAACAGTTAAACTGTTCCTGGATATGATATTTTACCATACCAGTTCCTGAAAGATATAGTACAATCATTTCGCAACAAATTTTTGAAGTATGATTAGTCTCCATGAATTAAGATGTATTAAAAGAAACATGGTGTGTCTTAGAATTATTGTACAGATGGGATACATTATGAGGGTAATAAAATATGAAGCACGTATGTTTTTGCTGATAGAATTTACAGCATATAAACTATGAACTGTTATAAATTAAGACATGGCACAACTCCATAACACACTTCTAACCCAGCATGGGAGGTTTCTTTGTAAGTATAAACTACAGTATTTTTTGGTTTGTGTTGCTTTTTGTTTTGAGATTCTTCTCATTCACTATTTAACATAGAGAAGGATGATGGAATAGACTCATTATGTAACAGAAATTTACAGAGGTAAATGTAAACTTGCAAAAATGCCTTGAAGGCACTACAGCCAAAATGTATCCGTGTTCAAAATATAAACAAAGTATATAAACATATAAACTAAGTATGTAACAACAGCTACGTTCAGATTACTTGCAAACTCATAAACATAATTTAAAATATGAAAAACAGTCATGACAGAAAGGTAGACGAAGGTCTGGAATTCAAGTTGATAGTCCATAAAGTACACTTAAAATGGGAAGAGATAAACCTTGTCTCCACTTTTGTGCCCTTCAAAAGAGATGAATCATTTGTATATCCTAATTCCTACTCATTCAAGCTACTGTCCAAAACCTAATCCTCTTTACCTTTTGTCTTTAGCTCCTTGTCAGTTAATACACTAACCCATCTCATTTATCCGTTTCCAAATCTGATAAAGCCATAAATGTGCATCGTTATTAGAACATTTTGAAGAAACATATATGCAGCCAATTCTAGAATGCTGAAGTACTACTCAGGAAAAAGAAACAAAATAATCCAAATTAAAAAGTCCAGATTTGCTTTTATCGTTAGTAATTGTAACACAAGCATCCATGAACCTGGATTTCCACATCCAAATTTCTCCTTTAACCATTTCAGAGACAATTTTTACTAGATATCATTGTCAGTACAGCCAGTGAATACTCTTACCGTTATCAAGCTTTGAAGACATCTAGAATTTCCACTTCATCTTGCTCAGATTCCACTATTTAATTATTAAAGCTCTTCTTTTTGGGGACAAAAAAAAAAAAAAAAAAAATCCCTGTAATGAATGATCCCAGTCTTATTTTTCAACTCATTTCTGGGCAGACACTGAAAGCTTAAAGCTGTCTGAATCCAGCACACTAAACATGATGTCAAGAAGAGTTCTTGTTTCCATACATCCTTACACAGCACTTTCCACTGGTTCTTAAAACTGCAGCTCATTCGCACATGGGTGAGGCAAACTGCCTGCAGGATCTGATGGTACCTAATCAATAGACATTTCATCACTTATAGATACTAGAGTTTAGAATAGAGTCACAGGGAGTCAGGTCTGCAGTTTAACTCACTGTCTTCCCATCCAGCGCTCAGTAAGTACAAAGAATGCCTTTTTGGAACAAATTTTCATTCTCAGGTACCAAAGTGTTACATTCATAATATATTAAATATTATGTTCCTTTGCTGCTTGAGATAAAGGTATGCTTTCCTGCTAATCTTTAAAGATGGAAGCCAATGTTGTAAGCTACTCAAAGTAAGGGCCTCTTGCAAATGGCATATAGAAAGAGGCTGGTGGATCCAACCATGAGCTAGGCCTACAGCAAACATCAGAAGGCATGTTGGTGGACCTTGAGCTTCCAGAAAAGGGGTCATACAATTTTCGCATAGAGATATGAGGTTTGTTCCCCTGAACACAGGCTGAATTAGAGACTAGTACGTCCCCCACTGTAGGGATATTATATCCAACCTTCAACCTCTGCTTTTGGCAGCTGTGTTGCTCCTGGAGATATGCAGGTAATACAACCTTCTGTTCAACGCCACTTCAGTTTTTAATCAACTGTTTACCTCCTTCCAGCTTAAAGGACAAAGATAGCCATTGTGAGAAATGCTTAAGAAAGGTAGAAAAGATGAAGTTGAAACAGCAATAAATATATACACATCTGTCCAAACTGGTCACAAAAGCATGAATTAGCAATGTGGGAATCAAGGGGAAAAAATCTGACCAGAAGTATTTTGACAATTCTCAAGGAAAAAAATACAGTCAGATCACACATGGTGAGATGGGAAAGGTGGGGCAGTACAGAAGCACACTGCCATCAGGAGTAGCCTCTGCTCTTCAGCTCAGCACAGAAATAGATGGGGGAAGGACTTAGCAGTACCTCTAAACTTTCTTACACCAGGTTGAGTTGGTACTAATTTCCCTGATGGCTCCTGTGTTAAGCCGTTATGGAATTGGACCATATCTTGCAGGGCACTTATTTTCAAATAGAAAACTTGAACAACATTTCACTAGAACCGCAAACATTCAAAGTTATCCTAAAGAGAGGCAGGCAGAAGGATTGACATGTCCACAGACAGGTATAAATGGGCCAGGAGTAAACACAGAGTGATAGTTATATGAAGGTTCCTAATCATCAAATCAGTCTGGACGTGGTCAGCCTTCCAATGGAAAGAGCTGAAGGAGTGGGGAGAGTAAAAAGTACAACTGCATTTAAGATGGAGCTAGAGAAACTCAGAGGAATTACATTTTATGGTACTTGGGATAAGCAGGGGCCAAACTCCATGACTTGGAAGGTGTTTTCCAGGCTAAGAGCTACAAAGAGTTTTTTCCACATATGTGTATAACTAACTGCTTGTCATTTAGACTATTTCAAGTGCGTGAAAGGAATTTGTTTTCCCCATTCAGGAAGCTTAATCATTCTAATACACTAAATATGCAACCTCTAAAATGAAAGAAAGCCAACTGCATGTTCTCACTGCGCATAAATAGTTAATTGGACGAGCAAGGTTTTAGTTCAAGAAAGTACCTCAAAATGCTCTTAGCAGGAGAC